GAAATGCATAGGCAGAATTGAGAATAGTGGAGAAGAGGAGAGGGGAGTTGTGGCAATAGGTAAAGGCAATTCCTTTTTCAGGAAAAAGGGGAAAACATATTCGAAATTTCACAGTATTTCAGTACTAATATACTTTCAGCGGGCCGATGATTAAGAAGCTTTACAAGCGCTTTTTCCTAGCAAACATATGCTGAGTCGTCTCACTACCTTCAGAAATAGTCTCTTCGAAAATTTCGAGTTACGTTGTTATTTGAAAAAAGCTGCTTAAATTTAATAACGAATACGAAGCGAATATGGGAGCAACTCGCCAAGCCATTATAAAAATCATCAGTTTATGGACGAAATTGTGCCGTAAAATTTATAATTTTTAGGAGAACCACATTCTGATAGGCAGAAAAGAAACAGAACCAAGGGATGAAGATAAAATGCTGCTAGAACAGGTTCAGAGCATCGCCTCTGTGAATACAACTGAAAATGTGCAAAAGGTAAGCTGGAAAAATCGTTCGGAGCCTCAATATACTTCAACAGTCTGATAAGGATTTTGTGCGGCTTGTTATCCATCCATTCATTCATTCATTCAATCCAGTAATCCAGCAACGAATCTATTCTTAACTTAGTGGTTGTTAGAAATAGACATATTTCAAAATAACTCCAAGAAGTCTTATCGAGTTGGCCCTCGCGTCTCAAACGTTAAAGTTAAAGTGAAAAAAATACAACCAAAACTGTCCCCCGAGCAAAAATCTATTCCCGAAAACTGATCTTGCCTCGCCCTTACGTCGTAACTGGCCTTAAATTCTCACTCACTTTATCTTATGGAGCTTTTTATAGAAAGTGCCTGGATGAAGCGGAGTGCTAATAACTGCTGAAATGTTTTTGTTCGGAATCTGTCCTTGTAAATTTTCACTGGTTCTGTCCTGCGGATCCGTAGAATCCCAACGGAGGCTTCGTTGAGCAACTGGAATACGTTCACTGACATATTAGGAGAATCGCCGCTATTGTAAAATATTTCAAAAACAGTTTCAGGCGGGGCGCAGTGAGTTGGATGAAGTGAACGAATTACTAGAAGGCATTGAGGAGGAGTTCGGCTGTGCCGGTGATTAGTTACAACACTGTGTTTATTCGTTGACTGAACATTTGCAGCCTGTATAATACATAAACAATAAAATATATGTTCCTATGAGTATCGTGTCAACAGCATTAACAAAGAAAAAGTCGTTGAAATATTCAAAAGAGTGGTATATCTGCTGCTGTTGAAGTGTATCTGAATCTGCCAAAAACTTGGTTTACGAAAGAGCTGCCGTGTTTTAGCCAATGGCCATTAAGGTTGAGCAGTAATCTGGCAACAAATAAGTGCGAAGGGA